TGTGATCTAAAACCCGTTTTCAGAAACATAACCAGTTTTCTGGATTGTGCTGGATAAACCGCAATAATCCAAAATGAATAACTAAATTTTCTTTACATTGGAATAGTCGTGAGTCATATAGCGGTGACAATTATCGAATCATGTGACACTACGTGCAACAGCACTCCCGCAATTGAAAATTAAAAATAAACTCTGAATACGTAGGCGTGGTGCACGCAAAGGGCGCGTGTCTTAATCATTGTTCTTTATATTTTCTATTTGTGGTTGCACATTTTCATTTATGTTTATTACAGATCAAAATAAAATAACCATCCCTTGAATGCATGTCGTGTGATATGCTCGTGTAAATAGTGTAAAGGACGACCCAATCTACTCATACTAGCAGTTGATTGATTAAAAAAAAACTTGTTTGTTGTCATGAGTAGGCACAAATCAGACTCACATTATAAAGGTGAAAGTGTGTGTGTTTGTTACACCGGAAAGACCGCGGGGCACAGCTGGTACTTAATTTTTTTTATCGTATCTAAATACAGTAAATTACATTCAATTTAAATATAGCAGATGTCTCGAGACCTAGGCCGTTATACTATGACCTAGTTATTTCAATAACTGTATAACATTTCATTAATGAGATGTGATGGAAAGCAGTAGATTGCACATCTATCTACTCACGATATTCTTTCAAGAACGACGACGTTCACGACTTTCAAGAAACTGTTTTGAAGACTGCTTGCTTTTATTTAATTTTTCTGGTTATGACGCTATAAGGCAGAAGAAAATGATCTTTCTGTCTTATAAAGAACATTTTGAGTGTTGTCTTCTAGAAAAGAAAGTCTTTTACTTACGAAATCGTCGTCATCCTTAACAAATCAACATTATTAACTCGTATAAGATGTGTTTTGTACCTTTCGAAGCTAATTATTATTAATAGAGGGCAAAGTGCGAGTTTATTTCACTACGGTGACGGCGTTCCGCGTTGTGATTGGCCCGTGATGAACTCTTCACTAATCACAGCGCCGAACGCCGACACCGTGACGATCGATTTGAAGTGAAGTAAATTCGCACTTTGGCCTGTAAATATGATAACACTCGAATCCGAATCATCGATTCATTACATGCAATTTGTCAGCCAACGTTAGTTTTGCTAAATGGAAGCCATGAGTTCTTACTTAGTCTATATTCAAATTAAATGATGTCTGATTTTAGTTAAGATACGATACAGACGTACTAGTGGCCTTCAGACAACCGCTGAGGTCTTATCTTACACAGCGTAGGACGTCTCAGGTTTCAGCATACGTCATTTTTGATTGCTGGTATTTAATGTTGGAGATTTAATTGCCAACAATTATTGCTTATTGCTGTTTATTCACATCGCTTATACTTTGTCCCTGGCGATTACTACATTCCCGTCCTGATTTACTACATTCTCACAACGCTATCTAGTCCCAAACTAAGCAGAGCTTGTACTATGGGTACTAGACAACTGATATAAATACATATATTATACATTTTTTTGTAAATACATACATATTATACATAGAAACACCCAGACCAAATCAAACATTAAATGTTCATGCACACAAATGTTTGACTTGAGCGGGAATCGAACCCGTGACCTTTGGAATAGCAGTCCGTTACACAAACCACTACGCCATCCGGTCGTCGTCTAGATAAACGGGCTACTCAAAACTAACACTCGTATAATTTGTCAATTTGAACCAGTAGTGCCTGAGTTTAGCGCGTTATAGATAGATGATCTGAATACGTTTTTCCCCATTTATGCTTAGCGGTGCGTCAAATGACGTAGACATCATTCGATCGGTTTTGTTTGCTGGCAAATGCTAAATGATGCCATTGTTAGCCAATAACATTAGTATTTTCGATAAGTATCTTATCTATAAAATTATATTTTTACTATTAGATGACTCGCGCTGTACTGTGGTATTAAAACATGTTGGGTAATCTTTTCGTAATTTACCGATATAATATGCGCAGTCCCCTAAAATTAATTATCTTCAACAAAGACATTTACAGCAGTGCATTGACTTCTTCACATTTTCTTGTTTTGAATAACAGCGGGTATTTTTACTTTTATCATTTTATTCAAGGTAATTTAAGTTACTGTCTTCACTGGCATTCTATTCTTTTGTTCTTATTCCCATTCCATACGATAGGATATATTCTTCGAGTGATCTATTTTTACATCTATCTGGCGTTTTTAAACTAACCAATATTTTGGCAAAACTACTTCCTACTCCTACTAATATGTGATGTGAGTGATGAAAGGACTCGAGGCTTATAAACCTTTATAATTAAGACTAGCCTCGATTTTGAAGACTCGACTCCATAATTACGACTTGAGGCTTGTGAAAGACCTCATCATCATCAACTCGAGTTCTTTACTAAGAGGTTCAATGCTTAGTTGCGAGTATTTTAAGTAAAGAGCTCCAGTCGTTTAATATGTGACCATAATTAGTTTAACTTCAGATTGTTAAATATTTATTACACATCAGGAGGTACTGAATACTAGTAATTTATTGTTAGAGTTGCGTATGCCACTCTTCAAGTGTACGAAATGTACACTATTTCGTACGACTAAAGGGCATCACTCAAAGTCCACTTACAAGGAAAACAATGTCTCAGTGGATCACACTATTTTGTACAGTAAATGCTAAATTTAAAATCATATATTCAAATAAATCATTATTTTTTATCTTTGTCATTTTGAACGATGAAGGGCTCGTGGCTAAGTGGTAATCGAGCAGGTTGACACATTACAAAGTTAAGTTAACCTAGCCAGGTCAGTCTATGGATAGGTGACCATTCTTAACACATTGAGACTTCTCCGTGTCTCGGAGATCACGTTAAGCCGTCGGTCCCGGTTGCCATACGAACATCTGTGGCAATCGTTACGGGTACTTGGAGCCCCTAAAACAGTCCGACAACAGTCTTTCTTCAGAATATTTCGATATCGCCTAGTGCTTGCGTTGTGAAGGTCTGATGTCAATTGCCGCGTAAAAAACCAAAGTTTAGTCGTTAGTTAGTAGACTTAAAGCTGTCGCTAATCTAGTTTGGGAGTACAAATTACAAACACATAAGTGATCCACTGAGACATTGCTTTCCTTGCAAGGGAATCTTGAATGATTAACTTTAGCCGTATGAAATAGAGCGCATTTCGTAGTATATCTGTTACACTTGAAGAGTGGCATACGGCCACTTTTACTCTAACAGTAAATTACTAGTATTCTGTACCTCCTGATCTGTAATAAATATGTAATAATCATAAACTGAAGTTTAACTAATTATGGTCTCACAATTAGTTAAATGCTTTGTTAAACGCCTCGAGTTCTTTACCAAAAAGACTCGCGACTAAGCCTTTAACCTCTTCGTAAAGAACTCGAGTTGTTTTATTAATTCGAGTCTTTTTTAATGACTCGAGTTCTTTCACAAGCCTTACGTCGTAACTTTGGAGTCGAGTCTTCAAATCGAGGCTAGTCTGAATTATAAACCTTTCATCACTAATTATAAATGAGAAAGTAACTCTGTATGTCTGTCTGTTAAGCTTTCTTAGCTAAATCGGTTTGAATACCATTGGGCATGGAGATAATTTAATTCTTAAGGAAGAACATAGGCTACTTTTAACCGCGATAACCGACATAGACGCGGGTGGCGCCACTGGCAAAAGCTAGTGTGTTATAAATATTGTTTTCTTTCTAAAACGAAACTATTTCTGCGTGCTCTCTTTGTAATAAAATAGCCAAATGTTTTACGCACTTAGTGTTGTCGCACATACCTTTTTTGTAAACAATCTAGGCAATTTTTTTACGGCGTAGTCATGTGAGTATGCGTCACGAATATTACAGATGTACACATTATTTTTGGCTCCTCACTGATCTACGTCACTGTGTGTCTTTCACCACTAGTGCTTACTGATTACAAGACTTATTGGCTAGTCGACAACATTTATGAGAGTTGGACACAATCAATTTGGAAATATGCCATGACCATAGAAATATTATTACGATTTCTGTGGTTTTGGAAGTAATCGGGCGCTAATTCATTTCTAGTGTCTTATTATTACGATTTCTGTGGCCATGAGCCACGGACTTCTTATCATACATTTCATTTGTACACATCTGTGATTAGTTGTGGCATTTCTTTAAGTTTGTTCTTCATTTATTTGACTATTAAAATTAGCTTGTGCATGCATTCCTATTCTATTTATATGAATCAACCAATCTGAGTTGCTGTTGGCTAAGTTAAATCATCGTAATGCGTCCTTGTATAATATATATTGTCTGGTGATGAACGGTTTGAAATGAATGAAATATATCGATCTGAATAAACACCATATAAGGTAAAGGGGATATGCCTTAAAATGCTGTAGTTCTTCAATGATGTATGTACACATATTTCAATGAAGGCATTGCGAAACAAAAACCGGATTTCGAATGGATGGCCATGATGTTTTCAATTTTTTTGTCTTTTTTTGCGAAGAGTTGCTGCGAGGAACTTATTGTAGTGGTATATTTAATTATTAAAAATGTATAAGGCAAAAAACAAACATACTATTTAAGTATTTAATACTTATGTTCAATATTTTTAAACCAAAAAACAACCTTGAATATTCATACAAAAAATCTTAAAATGCATTCCCCTTCAAAGCACAGTTTGTATGGACTGTGTTGTTTTACTATTGCTTGCGGCATATATTCTGCATATTACAGTCCCCAAAATGCTGGTACGTGTGAACTGGTTTTCTGTCGGTATAATCGTAATGAGTTATATCTATATATGTACATGATACGTCACCTTACGGGCGACTGATAAGAGTTGCGACGCGTCGGCGTCGCGTGGGTGTGTTAACGTGTGTACGCCGCGCCTCCTCAGTCAAACTGTTGACGTGCCCGCGAGTGTTCGTGTTTTGCTTTCTAAAATAAATTTCCCGCTATTTCTTTTATGGATTAAGTGTTTTTTATTCATTCGATTTTTTAAACATAATGGATGCCGGTATGTTTTTTTTTTACTTACTCTTATCGTTATATTTTATTTCATTACATTAAGTTATATTTTTAGAAATAATGCAAGTGATAAAGATAACGGATATTAATTATTTCGTACAATTAATTAACATAACTGAAGGTAATCTACGTTTTATTCAGACATGTACTTGACTATTAGAAAGTAAACATTTTCGAAAAAGTACTTAGTAAAACAAGTGGCCTTACAGTGTTCGATCATGATTTACCTACTATGTTTGTGGAAATTTCGTGCATGCAAACTATTTAAAATGTAAGTACCTAATTAACTTTAACAAATAATTGATAAAATAGATATGCTATTGCTAGTTTTTTTCCTCAATAGGTACATAGATTCGAAATGAGTCTTGATCTTTATAATGGTTTCAAGTTTGTGCACATTTCTTAACGTAGGGCGAATAACGCTTGCATAATACATTTATATGCAAACAATAAAAAAAAGATAGACATATGTGTATATTTTATTGTGCCTAATTTAATTTTTTTTGGAAGACTGTGGTAGTGAGTGAAAAGACGATAAAACGACTACGTGTCGTTACCGACTAAAGTTGCTTAGTGTTTTCGAAAGTTAACCTAATAGCTTAGAAAGGCCATACTTATTGTTTACTTAAAGAAGAGCGAACCTATGTCCTTTAAAGACTATTAAGTCCGGGTGCAGCTCCATAGTTTTCATAATAATACAGTGCTGCCAAGTTTGTTATACTAATGGTACAAAAATGCATACGTCACGTTCAAAATTTAAAAACTGAAATGGAAATATACGGTTTGGTAATAATAGTCAGATCTTTTGTACAATTCCGAAGAGCGTGCCAATTTTTTAGTTTCCTTGCGTAATAACATATAATGATGATGCAGTAAGTGTAACTTTACTATTTTTGTACTTCAATGTATTGTATTTAAATAACTAGCTGGCCGATTTCGTTTGAAAAGCGCTGCCTTAGTGGGTTCGATTCCCGGACCGGGGAAAATTATATAGGGTTTTTTCTGAGGTGAAAAATAGCCTAAGTTACTCCATAAAGACAGCTACCTCTTATTAAAATAGTATCAAAATCGGTCCAGCCGTTTAGAAGGTTAACAAACAGACAGACAAAAATGTTTTTAATTGGTTTTAAATTTATTTTAATCATAGGTATCGTGCAAATAATCGCGTGAACATGAAAAAAACTATTATTTTGATATTACAAACAGACACATCAATTTTATTTAATTGTACAAATTAGTTGTAGCTCCTATTACTTAGGGATTTTGCGTCATAAAAAACCAATTTACTGAACAAACTCTCGAATAATCTTGCTATTTATCCGACAAGTATAATATTCAATTACTAATATTTTTTTACATAATCAACTGTACTCCAAAATGTATTAAATAATAACCACTGAGAAATATTTTCACTGTCTGTGTTTCTTAATAATAAAACTTTACCTAAAATTGATGTAAACAGGAGGTTCTCAGAACTGATTTTAATCATTCTTTTTAGTTGAAAAGGTTTTACTCATGGTTTGGTACCATTTAAATTTGAAGAAAGGAGGAAAAACGCTCCTTTCTAAGGAGATGCCTACGTCCAGCAGTGGACTAGTGATGGCTGTTGATGATGATGATGAAATTTGAAAAACATATACCACCTCTTAAAGTAAAAATAACAATTAGCAGGTACATAACATAGTAATAAAAATAATTAAGTTAAAACCTCCAGAAGCTCATTTTAGGCAGCTGGATTAGTTCTTGATATGCCAAAATTGTGAGGAGCTAACCGATAGCTTGGCCCCTGTGTCCAATACCAGTGGGATACAATATTTAATTTTTTTAAATAAGTATAATATATTTTACTAAAAAGGGAATGACAATAAGAATAACTGTAGATAGTAAGCAATATGTATGTATAATATAATCATGATTGAGGCCCATTAATAAGTATAATAATTATTAAATAGGTAAATACAATGTGATGCGGTATTTAAACAGAATACCTAAACCTAATCCAAAATTTAAACTTCTACTTATAAAACTAAAATTTACTTTACAACTGACTTTTATTGAACAATTTGTGTAAAAGAAGTAATGTTCAATGAAATAAAACAAGACATCTGCAAGTAATAAATTAGCGCCGATCAATGATTATATTCTTATCATATTAACTTTAATTTGCTTGCAAAAGTTTATTATAATACCTGTAACACTTGAGTATTTTTTTATATAGGGCAAAAAAATATTGACCAATGACCTTGGGATAAAAAAAAATCTTTCTTTTTATTTATTAAACTTTTATAGCCATTATGAATGGTCAATTGATATAAAAGTTTTATATTTGTATTATTGATTAATTGTTGACTATTCATACATAATCAACACATAGTTGGACACTTTTACTATAACACCCGTACAGTACCGTAAAATAGCCAGTGATTTAAAAAAACCATCATTTTAGTACACACACAAAGACAGAGATAAGTGGATCTAAGAAGTTTTGTTATCATTAATTATGTGGGCACAGGCATTATAATAATGTCACAACTGTTGACACTCTTGTTAAGATTAAAAATTATTATTATCAAATTAATCTTTATTAATGTATGTAATGTTATAATTAAAACTAATTCGTATAGTTTCGGCGTATATGTTTACAATTATCTATCTATATTATTTTAAAACACATTTATCATCGGGACATGTGTAATAAATAGTAATAGTGAGTCAACTCAGCTACTTAAAGGAGCAACGCTGGGGCGCGGTATGAAGGAGAGCGGAGTCCCCCTCCTGCCCGCGACGTCTGCGGTAATACCGGCCGGCTTGGCTGCCAACCGTTTTAAGTGTCATGTACATCGGTTGCACGCGTTTGGTGCACGCAAGTTTACTTGCATTATTTTTATTATTTGACTAACTCACTTTAGTACTATTTTCTCTTTATTTTACTAATAATATTATATAAGCGAAATAGCGCATAATCAAACACTCGACGTATTTGGTGCTTTAATAGACATTTACATAATTACAAACATACTTATATGACTATTTAGATTATATATTAATTACATACGTTTATTATATTGCATGGTTGTAATGTTATATATAATTTGTTCAACCTTTCATCCGAAATTTGAAGCGTAATAGGAACCCTAAGTACTATGTTTACCCAGCTACCTACCATCGTGATCGCTTTTGTGATAACCCTTGCACATTTTTAGTCGAGACAGTCTTGTAGGTATTTGGCGGTCTATCAAAGGAGGTTACTCAATATTATCATTTACACATACGACCGGGGCTTCTCATTGTCATTAGCTAGCTTTCAATTTATCTCACAATAATCATTTGTACTATAGTGAAGAAGTCGTGAGAGCGTAACGAACAGAAAAAATAATTGCATTTATATTAGTATTTTAACTTTGATTCCAACTCCCCACTGAATCACGGGGTTGAGGAGGTTTGGGCTTCGGTAACCACACTCACTCAGTGAAAACCAATGAACGAATTGTTTAACACCGGTTTCTGTGAGGACATGGTAACTCTCACTCTATCTCTTGACTGCACGGATGGCGTAGTGGTTTAAGCGGTCGCCACGCCACTACTACGCTGAGTGTTGTGGGTTCGATCCCCACATGGGACATCCACAAATTGTTGTTCTAAGTCTGGGTGTTCTTTGTGTCCGTTTCATGTATGTTTGTAAAGTCCCCCGCGACACAGGATATATTCCTAATGCGGTACAGGTAAATTAGCTTGGAGAAATTTTTGCGTTTGTAGTAGTGGCACGTGCGGACAGCGTAAATTGGTTTATTCTGGTTTTGTGCGTGTTCCCACTTTCCACTATCAAGTGACGATCTTTTGCTTTAGATTGAAATATCTCGGAAACGGTGCGTCCTGGGCCAAAAATAACAAAAATTTTGACCCCCCCCATAGACCCCCAGGAGTTTTAAAAACCTAGATGAAAGGTAAAAAAAAAAAAAAATTAAATATCGGTCTCTCCTCTTTGAAGTTTCACTTCTATCGTGTGTGAATCGCACACACACCTTTTTTTTTTATAAAGTCAAAACCTTTTTCTTTAAAATAAAAACTTGTTTTTATTGAAAACAAAAATCAGAGTGTTGCTAGGGATAAGTATAAAATTAAATAGTAATGTTAGGATATCGAAACATTTTTGTATAGGCCAGAACGATATAGTGGAAACGCGCTCTAAGATCTGAGTAATATACACACCACTACATATGCAAAAATTTCTCGAGACTAATTTCACTGTATTTGTCTTTTTTAGAAAAGAAAAAAAGAAAAAAAAATGTACTTTTCCCTCCTCAATTTTACGGCACATTTCTTTACCGTTACTTCAAAAGTTAAAACTTAGCATACTTGAGTTGTTTTTACATTTGTAGTACATTTAGATCATATGGAAATAATTAATCTCGTCATGTATTGAAGGCGTGGCGTGAGAAAACATGAACAATAGAATTGCATATCATATGTATTAGGAGTTCAATAACCCGAGTTATAATAATAATATGTTTACACACGGCCGTCAGATCTCAAACTAGGCAGAGTCTGTACTATGGTGACCAGACTGCTGATAAACATACTTATATGTTTCTAGCAGCGCCGTCTCTCATGGAGTGCACAAATGAATTAATGTAAATCATCTCTACGAACATACGATAAGTTTTATGTATTACTAACAAGCAATGAGTCATAGTTACTCTAATACAAATGATTATTATTATTATGTAGATGCTTAATCTAATTATTCCTCCACGAGTAATTAACGCTAATAGATAAGTTACTTATATCAAAACGTGAGTGTTTGCTTATCGTTCTGTCCGCCGTACTTTAACCCTCGCCATCCAGGCCTTTTTCGATGAGCAGGCATGCACCTAGGTCATACTCATCGTGATAACGTGATTATTCGTATTATCGTGATTAAAATTTGCTTATAATAGAAATATCTAACAAATACCCCGTGTCACGGTGTTTCTATTAATGATATATTAA